CCTGAAGCGGTTCCAGCTCACGCTGCCTTGAGCTTTTTACGGCCGCGATGGCTGGGCAGAAAATCAGCAGTCGCACGCTGCAAGACTTGGCTGGGTACCAAGCTCTGCCTCCCCGCGCAGCTCCTCCGGGGCTGCACCACCAGCATGAGCCCAGCCTGAGCTCCCGCCTGGTCCTGGTCCTGACCTGTCCCGGTAAAAGTCCAGTCCCACCACCCCATAAATCAGAGGCCGTGGGGCTGCGTTGTGGGTGCTTCGGACAGCACGCTGATCCAGTGAGTCCCACCAGCCACAGCAAGCCCCACTGCTGAAGGGGTGGCTTTAACAGCACCTGCTGTCACCTACTAGGTTTGTTTCATACAGGACACGTAATCAGCAAATGAGCTACATTAAATGAGTTTAAAAGCTTCATGAAGCCAAACTGTTGTGTCTTATGGAGGAAGATGACAGAGACAAGATAAATAAATCCTTCTCATTTCTCACATTTGCCGTGAATATCTGAAAAAATGCTTTCAAACCATGAAATGATTTGTGTTATGCACAGGGGAAGGAGTTAAAAGCTTAAAGCAGGAATTTGTACTTCTCGTGTTCTGTTCTTGGCCAGTATAAAACGAGCGCAGTGCTAGTACTGAGCCAAGCTGGTTCATGCCTAAGCGTTAAAGTGGCCAGACTTCATGTCGTGGAAGTCTTCCTGGCTGAACACTGCAGGATTTCACTTTCCCGTACCCAGCGATGACAGATTTTGCAGGCGAAGCAAAACCTGCTTTCCCCCCCTGCCACTTGCCACCCACCTTTCTCCCCTTTTGATGCCTAACACCTTCCTTTCGCTTTCTGCCCTGTATCCTCCTTCAGGACTCCTGTTTTTTGTTCAGCCGCTGTTTCCTCTCAAGGGGTTGCTACACGTTCACCCTCGTTCTTGGGTTTTGTGCACAGATGTGAATACGGCACCTGCTCCTGACACTACGGTCTTTAACAGCGGAGCCCTGCAGAAGGAAGACAGGAAGTCCATGGGGGAACATGATGCATATTCACTGGAGGACAGAGAATACCTTTTGACCCCAAAGAGGTGACTGAAGGAGATGCTGGAAAAGCCGCTCTCCACAAGGTGAGTATCTGGCCCATAACAGATCTTTTATTGAGGAACGTCCAAGGGCCATCCAAAAATATCCCTATTTTATAGAGGGAGAAATTAATATTTTATAGATGGAGGAAAAGGGGTGTGCCCTTTATATGAGTGGGAAAGGATCCCACTCCCCAACGTGCTCTTCACAAGCAAGAGGCACTGGCTTCCCTGAAGCCATTTATTCACCCACTGTTAAGCTATCACAGAAGGTTTCATGGATAGTTTTATTTCAGTTCAGAAGTAACTTATTCTGTCTTAGCTTAAAATGGTTCCTGTTGGTCTCATTTGAACTAAAATATTCTACTCCCTAAAAATAATAAAAGTGGCTTAATGGCCTTTTGCACAGATGCATCACTATCAGGTTAAATTACACTCAGTCAGTGCTGCTTTTCATGCTGATATCTTTTTCTCTATCTGCTAACTCGTAATCACCAGCCTAAAATGCTTAATGTTTAACAAGATGCATAAATCATAGAGCCTGTGATAAACCAGAATGTGAGATGTGGAAGACACACTTCAGGTGACATTACAAAGGCAGTAAGGATTAGCTATGAGTCTTAATTACGAGATCCATCATGAAGCAGCACCTCTCACAGGAAAGTAAGTACCATTTCCCATATTTTTTTCCACTTGTGCTTCCTAGTGAAAAATATTTGTCTCTATAAAATCTGGCGTGCTATTACACACCTGGATACAGCCCTGGTCTGTGATGACTTTGAGCACTCTACACAGTTAGCATGGCCATCACGGTCAAATCTCCACCAGGGGACAACAACATACTCTTCCCACGCACGTGCCTAAGGGGATGCGCCATCAAATTGGGTTAATAATTTCAACAGGTCTAAATTGCTATCTTACGACACGAAAGGTCAGGTTTTGGAAACAGGATTAAACAGCCTGGTAACAACGGTGAGGAAAGATCACTCAGGTGACGCCTGCCCTCCAGTTCCCTTTCCAAGCAAGGGTCCCTTTCTGATCTGAACCAAACACACCCATCGCCCAGCTAGAAAGCTGATCGGTTTACCCACAAGCTGGCATGACTATCTGCTGCCAGCAGAGCTCCTGCTTGCAAAAGTCATGACTCAGTTAAAGGCGTGACTTTTGCTATCACGTCTCCCAAGAGGGATCTCTCTCTCTGACTGGAAAGCTATGTGGAATGCTGTGTTTTCCCACACCAGTATACAAAGTGTACATCACCTGTTCAGGATCAGTCCATTAGGAGCCAGAGGGACCCACAATAATTTGCTTCATGAAATGATTCCAGATGGTTTTATTGAGGTTTTAAACACTTTAAGTGTACTTTGCATCTTGGCCAGCAACTCTTAGAGATACCGAGTAGTAAACAGTTTCTCAGAAGTTACCAGGCAATGAAACAAAGTCCTTTTTCGGGATGCAATCATAAAAGATCATGAACATTTGTCCTTCTGTGATAAAAACAATAACAAAAAAATTACCACCTGTAGCATAAACCTGAGGCTCCCTATAACCTTGGAGTATTTATTTAAGCATTATGTACTTATGATAGCACAGGTACTCACCCTGAGGCAGATGACAGGCAGCTAGTCCAAGTGGGAATTAATCATGAGGGATCATAACAAGCACAGACTGCTGACAAAAGGAAAGTTTCAACACAACTTCCAGCCATACCACCCCGGAGCCATGGCCGCAGCTTCCCTTCTAGACTAAACAGGCTTGGGTCAGGCAAACATCCATGCTGGTGAGTTGAGGCGCTGCAGGCAGCTCTGTCTGACAGACAGCCACATCTAAGGGGTGCTCAGTGCCCTCAGCTCACCTTGTGTCTTTCCTGCATTAGTGAGACACTACTTCTATTTTGGGATAGACAGCAATATCTTTCTAAACTGCACAGACCATTCTCCTGCAGGATACAGCCAGGCTGTAGGGGAATGTGCTGACCCCCTAGACTGTCACTGAACCAGTGCCCTGCTGAGTGGTGGTGGCAGTGTCCTACCTAGGATGCCTCACTGGCCTTACACAGCTAAACCCATTCTGCTCACATCTAAAGCCATGTTCACGTCTTGCTAGGTGACACCTGGTCGTCCGGCCAAGTGCCAGATTGGAAAATTGCACTTTTGCCTTTGTGCAATACTCCCCTGATCCTGCTTCCACACAAAAGTGATTTTTCACCATTCAGCTGGAGCAGCCCAGGTTGATGTGCTGTCCTGTACGTGCTTACGCAGCTGCTGTGTCACAGGGCAGTCTGTGTGCAGGCCACTATGCAGGGCAGGGCCACCTCTCCAGCACAGCTCAGCTCCCACTGAACGACCTCTGTAACTTTTTCTGGCAGCGACCAGGCTAAATGCTGAGCCCTCCAGTGCTTATTCTGGAAAGAAGAGCCCTCCCATGCAAACAAATTAAAGAATATACATAACAAAGCACAATTTTTCAAAGGTATAACAAAGCATAATCTCTCCACCAGGTGACTCCCATGACACCAATACCAAATGACATATTCTGCAAGGAGTAAGAATCAGGGGGAGGACTCAGAGGGTAGTTTTTAACATATTTTGCAGGATTTTGGTTTCTTGCTTGGTGTTTGCTTCCAATGGCCGTTTAATCCTATTTAAGCACTAAAGCAGAGGTCATACAGTCTCTACTGTATCATTGTGTACTGCTATCATTGACACAGCAGACTTTCATCAGTCCAGCTGGAGTTTTCACTGCCTTTGAAAATGTACATCCTCCGACTTAAAAGAAAAACTGAAGAAACTAGATCCGGACTCTCGCGTGCCCAGATGGCTTTCCAATGTGTTTCTCCCAACTGTTGCAAGTTGTATGAGAAGATGAGTGAAATATGGCAGAGATGGAGATAAGTAAGTGTTCAATAAGTGCAATGAAGACCTTGCCCATCCACTGCCCCTTCCTACCTGGCAATGGTGGCAGTCAGATTGAAAGCAGGCAGGCAATTTTGTTTTAGCTCCCACGTCACAGCGAACAGCTAGCGTATACACTGCTGTCATCAGCCCTGGAGCCTGCCAGATGGATCTGGAGCAGGGGGAGACAGCCTAAGACAAACTTGTGTACACACCAGCTTGACATGCATTTGCTATGTTTGCCTTTGGGAGTATATGAAGACGCCCCAGAGCTATGTCTGCAACATTCTTGCAAATAATTGTTGGAAACTAGTTGCAGAAGCCACCACAACTAGAGCTCTGGATGGTAAGGGGAGACTCAACTCACAGCTGTGATGTTTTGAGGGTCAGGTTACAGCAGCCCACTTCGCGTGCTGTAAATTTGTTCAGTCAGTGGCCAATTTGAAAGGAAATTTAGCATTCTGGTCAGCTGGAGTTTTCACTGCCTTTCATCAGTCCAGCTGGAGTTTCCGGTCCAGTTTCTGGTCAGCAGACCATACAACATGAGCTGCACACCTTGTCAAATGCAGACTAGGGGCATTTCTGAGGGTCATGAAGGCTTTCAAGCTACTACCTGCTTCAGTTGATGTCACTGATGGACTTGGTAATGGAGACGGAAGAATAAACACAGGACGTTTCCTCGAGCTGAGGCCATTGCGTATTAGCAGGATCAATGCATGTACATTGTAAGTGGGTACAACTGCCCTAGATTAAGCACATTTTTCAGTGTGATGCCGTGAATAACTCCACATACCTCCCCTTCCCCATGTGTTTCACCAGAGATGACAGGAATAAGTGTGCTGTGCGGAAACAAAGGACTTAGACATTCAATATCTGTGGAGTTTTTTCTCTTTCGCTTTTCTAGTCGCCACAAAAAAACCCTCCAAACCCCCACATAAACAGCAAAAATTCCCAAGGGAAATAAATATTAAGAGACATCAGAGGACCAACAGCAAATTAAAGAAAGATATAGAGGCTAACTAGCACAATGAGAAAGCCCAGGTATCACAGAGAATGTGAGCGCTGAGTGCATTTTTAGGAGGCTGTATTAACCCTGATGCACTTGAGCATTGCTGCATCGCAGCAACGCTCCACAGTGCTGGAGCCAGCCGGAGACGGCACTCCTGTTCTCCACCTCACTGGCCCCGGCTCCCTGGCGCCTGGATGCCAGGTACTGTCATGCTCAGTGAACAGTGTGCTCC